CCCAGCCCTAGTGTGCCCCTCACTCCCTACCCACAACCCCTGCCTTGTTAGTGCCCTTCACTCCAGACTTGCAGCCCCATGACCCTTGCAGCCCTGCCAGTGCCCCTCATCCCCAACCTGCAGCCCTTGCCCCACCCAACACTGCTGGTGTCCCTAACTGCCCACCCACAGCCTCCCGCCCAATGATGGCCCTCACCCCTGACCACAGCCCTGCTGGTGGCCCTCACTCCTGACCCCCAGCCCCATCCCCCAGCCCTGCTGCCCAAGCAGCTCCCACATTACTCTCTTGCTCTTCATCCCTCCCGCCCCCTGGCTGTTTTTGGCTATTCCTGTGCTCTATTGCAAGGTGATTGGCTGTTAGGGTCACATGACCCACGACAGCCAATCACCTTGCCTGCTGATCCCAGCTGGCCTGGGAGGGCAGAGGAACAGCAAAAAATCCAGACATTTTGCTCTTTAGAAACCCGCCCAGACACAGCATGGTGGGGGGAGCAAAAAAAGAGGACATGTCTGGGAAAGCCTGGATGTATAGTAACCCTAGGCAAAGGTCAAGGGTTAGGGGTGGGACTTCCAGTCGCAAGATGGCAAAACGGGGGCAGGGGACGCTTGCAGACCTTGACAGCTTACTAAAACTTGTTAAGTGGCCTTCCAGCCAAAATAATTGCCCACCCTTGTTTTAAACCTCCTTTTCCTCTGTTCCTTTATAGCTTTATCAACTTACCATTGCCTCATCAAGATGGTTTACCTGCTTCCTTGCAAAGTTCATGGAAGAATTTTGTCTTTTATTTAGTAGGACAAGCATCATCTTGACTATTTCAGAACAGAAGCTTTATTTTCCAGTGCCTTATTTAATATTGTAATGAGTATTAGGACTTACTATCTCTCCATGTCCTTCTAGAGAAGCTCCATAAGAACAGTGTGTGGTCCTGCTTCTTAAATTAGTTGGCGATCTGCAGTAGAAGACACTTTAGAAGACTCAGTTGCTAATCTAAATCTGTCTGGAAAAATTTGTAAGTGGATAGCTCAGTCTTGTTCAGGGAAGCCTGGTCTCAATACCATATTCTGTGCTGTAGGGTCACAGAAGACTGTACCAAACAACTACCACAAAGGTAAAAAAGAAATGCAAGAGTCTATAAGGCGGCACAGTTTAACATAAAATATTTACTATTAAAGGGAAAACTACCATAATTCTTGGACATTGGTATTTATCAAGAGAAATATGACTGTTAGGACTTACAAGTGATTTCATAAAAAGCAGTTTTTTTTTTTGTTTTTTTTTAGCACCTCAGTTAATTCAAGGCAGCAACCCTTCTACTTGGAAATCCTGGCCACCAAGAACATGTCAACCTTCTGCTTTGGTTTTTGTACTCTTTCCCCACTCACCTGAAATACCAATTAAGTGCAAGGCTTCAGTTTATCTTGAAAACATTCCAAAGAATTAAGCAAAACTATCAAAGCAACAACATGACTGACTAATAACCTCCCATAACTTTGAATGTCCTTTGAAACAATTTAACTAGAGAAACAATATTGATACATAAATATTATACATCAGGAATACAGTACTTTTAATAGGTGGCCTGTAACTGTGAAACTCAGTTTCAGAAGAGATTAGGTTACCTCCTCTTTGGCTTCAAGAATGAAATACAAAGTCCAGGTCTTCAATAGCCTTCCCCTGATGATAAAAGTTAGATGCAAAAATCAAATAAAGAAACTATGAACGAAGGATGACTAGAGAAATAGAAATGTGTGTGCATATTTTCTAGAGGTGCTAAGATTCCATGATGATGAGCATGCTTTGAAAGTAAGGGCAAATTGTTTGATCATACTTTATTAGACGCATACAAGAGAGTGAAAAAAAATGTATGAGGTTTTTTGGTGCCATGCTTTTATTTAAATGAAAAGGAAAAACTACACTGTACCACATAAGTAGCAATGACAATATTTTACAGCACAGCATTTGAAAAAATATGGAAGCAATGCTCCACAGAAGTGGACAATAAGCACACAATACACTGTACATTTTTCAACAGTGCCCATAATTAAATAGCAGAATTTGGCTTTAAACAGCCAAACAATAAAAACTAACAGTCATACTAAAAATTTAAAAAATGATTTCAGTAGCTATTATGACTGTTAGTTTGAAATTTTGCTTTAGAAATTAAGATGAGTGTTTGGCAAATTCAGTCATAGCAACAATAATAATACCCCTGATGAAAGCACCAGTGTGTTCTGAAAAGGTCAGTGATAAATACTGGCCTTTGTGAAAAGCTTTTTTCCTTTATTTTTTAAACGTGACCTCAACCAAAGATCCACTGTAATTAAAAAATTTGCAGGCTTAAAAAGGAAAAAGTATCTCTGTCTCTACTTTTCCTGTACAGGCAGTCCTCGACTTACAACGTTTCGAGTTACAACGTTTATAAATTGACACCCTGTTTCAACTTTCTGACATCAGTTTTGACTTTACAACACTTGATCTGACACAATGCCACACCAGTGAACAAGTTCGCTGCGTTGCCCATGTCCCTGGAGAACATCTGTCCAAACTTCCTTGGACACTTTCTTTAAGAAAAACCTGCAGCCAAGACTCCTGAGAAGACTCCAGCTAAGAACCCTTCAAAAAGTCCAACCAAGAGCCCTTCAAAAAGTCCAGCAAAGTCACCTCAAAGAAGTCCTTCCAAATCAATATGATTGCTATTTACAATATAAATGCATTAAAGTAGCTATATTATTCATTTATAATTGATTGAGTACAAAATTCTGGGTTATTTTTGGTGAAAATAGGGTATCAGGCCTTGGTTCAGGAACCAATCCCCATTTATAACATTGTTTTCTATGGGAAAAACGGTTCCGAGCTACGACGTTTTGACTTAAGACGCAGTTTCCAGGAACCAATCATGTCAAGTCAGAGGACTGCCTGTGTTAAGTAAAATGCTTTGCTGCAAGCAATGAAATTTTCAACTGCATTATTCACATTCTACTTTTAGACATTGCACAAATCTTTTCAGACCTGTAGACAAATATAAACTCCGTAATACATTCAGTCATATTTAAAAAGATTCAAAGAATTCCTGTCATGTATTTAAACTCACTTGGTTTAGAAGGATGTGTATGCATCGATGAATGTTGCAAGTCTGTAGTAAATCATAGGTTTAGTTTTAGAAAGAAAAAGTCTCCTATGATAAAACTCTTCTTGAGTTTATTCAACACAGGCATGTATCTGTCAGTTCCACCCCCATCATGGACTTTTCCTAAAAAAATTGTTGCTGTTTGCAAGTTTTCATGGTTACTCAAAAGCTTTTCCTACAGTAAAGTAGTTGCAGGAGCTGTCTAACAGGCAGAATGTGCAAACCTTCTTCCCCCCTACTTTTAATTTTTATTTATATACTATATACACAATATGTATACACTTGAAGTATAAGAGTTACATATCCTGGTCATATACATGCAAACAGTAAGAATTAGCTAACCACAAATAGTTTTGAGCCACATACATCATAAACATGTATTTTAAAGTTTTTTTTCTTGTTTTTTTTTTTTTTTTTTTTTACATTTTTAACAAATATACATAAATATAAGAACATAAATTACAGTAAAATATTGACAGCATTTCTGAGAAAATGTTCATAAACGACCCAGATGCATTGATGCCTAAGGCCTTATAATTAAAAAAGTACTGTTCTAAATTGTTTAAGGATATCTCATTCCTGTGCATCTTTTATATAAGTAAATGACTACATCATTGTAATGAGGCTAGATTTCTCTCTAAGAAGACTGAGAGAAACGTACATAATTTTAGTCTCTACTCCTAATGAAACTGAATGGACCACATAGTTCTAGTACAATACTGTCTTTAAATTTACAGTCATCACAACACTGAAACAGAACAGGATCACAAATCATTCAAGTCTTTTCCTGAGAATGAGTTTTTTTCCCCAACTAATCCTCTGGTATACATTGCCAAAAAACCCACAGATTTGGGGGAGGTTTCAAGTTTGTAGTTTTCTTCAGAATAATGCTATGATTAAAGTGATTATAAAAAGAGAAAAAATGCTAAATAATAATAGCATTAATAAAGTGATCAAACACTGTTTTGAAATAAAAATGCAGCCCTTTGTAAATAATACTGATGTATGCTCCAATAGTTAATTTCATAAATGGTTATATTTGTTATAAACATATTGAAATGTTTAGGTTTTTTGTCATGTTTATTTTAAAACTGATAATATGAAATTGTCATTAATAAGTGTACGTCAAGAAAGTTACTTTTTTTTTTTTGTTATAAAGGCAGATATACTGGAAACACATATCTATCTACAGGAAATATTATTTAAGTCTGATAGCATGGATACACAGAGTAATTCCTGCCTGTTAACAGAGGGCGAGGATTTGGCGCATCAGCTACTTCACATACCGACTGTGCATATATTCTTACTATGTAGTAAATTAGAGCTAATCCATGGTATTTTACCCCTTAAAACCTGAATGGACCCTCAAGAAAAGGTATTAAGCTTCTGCAGGTAAGCTTTCAATAGGTGAAGATAGGAATGTGGCCACAGCTAGTTACCATGGAGAACCTGATGCGCTGTGAATCCTTACTGTTGGCTACCTTGTAACAACTTGTTCCATCCTACCTGTGCCCTCAGTTAGGTAGGAGTTGAGGTGGTCAATGCAGACTTCGCCAGTGAATTTTATGAGTCTTTTGAATATTTTACTTGCTAAAAAGATAATGTAATCTGAAGGAAACGTCCCTTTAAGCAGCTCAAATGTTTTCCCCTATTGTTTAGTTGAAAACAGTTAAGCAAACCAGTATTTACTTGGTTGAAGTTGATTGTAAATACTCAGGGGGGAACAAACCTTCCAGTAATGTAGGTACAACAATACAGAAAGAGGGTTCTAGAGGAGTACCTATTATGCCTCTTGATAAACTACTTGTCTGTTAGCCTTCACGGTAAGGTTCACTGAGTAAAAGTAAATGGCATTGAAAAATGTTTAAAAAAGGTGTTTCCTTAGAGGAGAAAAATACCAAAAAAGGAGAAAGTTTCAAGACAAGCACAAAACAAAGTAAAAGGCAACAAATGTAAAATGTAATTTGTCACTACAGATGAACAACATTCAGTGCTTCAGTGTATCTAATCAAAATAGAGCAACTATACCCTCTACACCATATTAGCACATACAAATCTCCATACATGAATCAAATATTTCCATGACCACTTGAAAGCATTACCAAGTGATAATCTTCTGTATTCCTAAACACTGTGTTTACATTCCAGTTGTGCATGATAATAGAGCTTGGTGTCCAGTTTTAAGTTCTAAAAGTCTTGTTGGCAACTAGAAATCTATTTTCTATAGGCAGTAAAGATGAAGTGCAAGTGTATCAATTGTCTGAAGCAAATATTTTCCCCATCTACTATGCCTTGGTAGATAAGAGTTTTTTAGGAGTTACAGGTCTCTTAGTTTGCCACAAATGGCTGTGAATGGTAATTGCGTCAACACTGGCAGACAAAGTTTTAGCTGGTATGTGGCTAAACTGCTTCCTGTCTGAGTTGTATTTATATAGTCCCTCTATCATTTTCTTTGTGATAGATTTGGGGCCTATCCCAGTCAGTTTATTGATTTCTTCAGTGTCAGGGCAGTACGTATACAAAGATCTGAACTGGCAGCCTGAATCCCGGAACAGGATTAAGAAGTTATTGGCATCAGACTTCTCCATTTCCTTTAAAAGAACAAGAAAAAACGGGGTTTACAACATGTCATTTACATAGTAACTAGAAATCCCTTAAACTCATAGGGGTGTGTGCCTATCTAGATCTAGACATCTCTCTCTAATGTGTATACACACACTTCTATCTACTTATCTGCTGTACGTATTGTGATAATCTTTAAGTATTAGATCATAACAGTAGTGTCCATAGTAGACCCTCTCGTTCAGCCAATGAAGACGACAGATCGGAGATCACAGAGACTATTCCAAACTTTCACAAAGCATTTACATGGCCATGATAGAGATTCCTTTCCAGTTTTTTCCTCATCCTGAAATATCTTCCTAGATAAGCTAAATGTAGGCCTTATCTTTACTTTTATATGTAAAAACATACCCTTACCTCCAATATTTTCTTCTTCTGACCTTCATTTACTTTTCCAGCCAGGCAACAGTGAGCCAAAGCATTCTGAATTATATGTTTGTTGGATTTTGCACTAGGTTCTTTGTAGAGCTTTGGTCCTAAGAGAGAGAACTGACAAATCAGCTAAGTGAATCGGTAAACTATAATAATTTTAAACACTATGAAATGCATTTTCTATTTTATCTTTGCATGTAACGCAAACCTAGCACCCAAAGGAAGTGAGCAGAAACTAGACATGCTACACAGACTGGCTGCGATTCATCTGTGAACACATCACATGATTGCATCTGGTAAATTATACCTTATCATGTTCAGTGAAGAAATCTAATCTGTAAAACACTGTTTCCCCTAACAATACATCTTTCAGTATTACAGCATCATTAAAGCAGTTTGGGTTAATATATTTGGTGTCATAAAATTAGGGTGACCCCTTTAACAAGTGTCGAAACAACAATCCACTCCTCCCTGCTCTCTACATGCTCAGCTGTTTGTGAGCTACACTCAGCTGAAGAGGTGGGAGGGGGAACTCAGGTGATATGGATTCTTTAATGAATCTTTGGTATTTAAAAAATGGTTCTTTTTTTAAACATGATGCAAACTATAGTGTACTGTTAGCATAAAAAATAATTCTTAATTTCCTTTTACATTCAAAAATTTATGGAACAGATTTTTCCCTCTAAAGCTCGTTGTTTGTTCTCTGAAGTCTTTGGTTCTAGACTGATCCCATGTTTTCTGCTCTTCTCACCTGTTACTACAGACGTGTTAGCAGAAAGGTATAAGAAAAATGACTCATGCATAAAGTTACTTTTGAGCATTTGGTGAATTGGAGCCTAAATGTGTAGGTGATTTTGCTAGTTTAATGCATTGCATTTTCACTACCATTTATGTTGTTTTAAATTATATCATTTTAAAAAAGGAGATAAATTCTGAATCTCTAACAAGAATCTTTAGTTTTGCTATAGGAACAGCAAATAAGGGAAAACTTAAATCCTTGGTCTACAGTTACTTCTTACACTTTAGCACTCCCCATGAATGTTACCGGTACTGACCTGTGTATTCCGTAGCAGAAGCCACTGAAGAAGTTGTAGATGCATTTTCCCAATCTTTTTCCCCATTGCGACTACCACAGCAACTTGGAGATAAGAATCCTTCTACAGACTCAGACCTAAATATTTTATAAAAACATGTGTTCTTTTCAGGATTGAGCAGACCACATCCAAGAGAAAATTCCCTACATTTTCAGCCTAGAGGCCTTTTAACATAAAAAGAAAATTAAAATGCATTTAAGATAGAAGACTGAAGGATTTGCATTATACGTTTTAGGTCCAAAACAGGAGTAGCTCTTTACATGCATCTTCTGAATGTTTTAATAATAATGGTTCACGATTATATTCCTAAAGAGGAGGAAGAGTAACTTTCAGGCAGCATACCAGGGAAAGAGTTCTGATTAAGTCTATTAGCATGCATAATTGTCTTACTAAATGGAAGCTTTAATCCTTTATAAATGTACTAGCAAAACTTGGCAGAACTTTATAAGGAGCAAGCTTGCTCTTGGACATGATGATGAACTACAAGTAAATGTTCCTTCATTACTACTTTTGATATTATTACAGCAGTTCCCTGTGATGACTACTATAGTGTTATGATTATAAAACAATTTTTATGATAAACGTTTGCTTTCAAAAACATCAACCTTTGAGGCTGAAAATATTCAGTGTTCGTGGTTGGAAAGTGTGAGCAAAATCCTGTAAAGCTACATAATTTTCTTTAAAAGTAATAATAAACTCTAAATTTTCTTTGAAGGGGGCTGCTGCAAAAATACATCAAGTTTGAAACTTGCTATCGAAACTGTCCCAGCCAGGAAAAACCTTGCTTAGTTATTTAAATAAGAAGTTAAGAATAAAAATAATTTAAAAAATAATTTCTGGACACATTCAGTGGACATCTGGTAAAATTCTTAATGAAACCCCATCCATCTTATTTTATGTACATTCTCAGCCTTTGTATGAAGTATGCAGGAGTATCGGAAAAGGAAAAACAAATCTCTGACATGAGGAAGAGAGGAACATTATGGGAATCCAAACCTGCAGTAAATTATTATTAAGCGTCCTATAAACTACATGCCTTTAAACCAATTCTACTAGATTTTATAGCTTTTTAGGAATTCAGAGCTCTGAATCAAATCTGAAGCCATAATAGGCTGCACTGATAGAAGTCCAGTTTTTACATTAGTTACAACACACTTATGCCTGGGCTTTGCACAAGTACAAAAACACAATAGCAGCTAATCTGGTTTAAATAAAATCAGTATAGATGGGTTTTTCCCTTCCACATACTGGCTTCACAGAATTATAGCTAGGGACCTACCTAAATTGCAGCACGACAAAGGGTTTTTTTGCAGCTGGCTTGCAGTGTGCAGAGCCAATTTTACAGGCATTTTGCTGCAGCCATGCCCCTCAGCACTGATTGGCAGAGAGGCCCCACCTGCTGGCACGGATTGGCAGAGAAGGCGGGGGGCGGGGGGAAAGGGACCAGGGGGTGGCCACTACTTTGATTGCTGGCTGCCCCTTGTGCCACCCTCCCCCTCTGTGCTAATTGGTGGAGAGGTCTTGGCAGGGGGAGGAGGGATGAGGGGGCAGTCGCCATCTCGTCTGTTGCCCTTCATGTCGAAGATGGCTGGGTCCCACTGGGGAGGCAGCATTTTATTTTTACTAAGTTTTTTTGTTTGTTTCATTGCTTTTACAGACCATCCCAGATGCGGTTTCTGTGAAATCCGTGAAACTGCAAATTATGTCCCTAATTACAGTATATCCCCTCTCAAACAGAATCAAGAACCTGAGAACGAGTACCTGATAAATTAAGCAACACATTAAGTCATTTTTGATCAGAGCCATAAGTACAATAACTTTTCCTTCACTCCTTTATCCTCACTCCTAATATAATTTTATGACTTTTCTATATAATGCTGACTGTTATTTCATTCTCAAAATAAAAACAATAAATTGGTTTCTAACTAAAAAAATATTCTGATGTTCAGCCGCGGATGAAGTTTTGTTGAGCTTCTGATACTTTTGTATTATTACTAAGAAAAGAACAACTGTTGCCAAAAAAAAGGAAAAGAAAATTAAGGACTACACATAACACACAGGGGATCACAAGAAGTGAACAAAGTTTCTACAGGTTGTGACAAACTCAAACACATGAACTAAAGAGACTGCACAGAGGATGTAAGGACTGGGTGTCTTTAAGCATTCTGATACGCATCAGGAAGACTTATTTTATATGAATAAATACTGATTAATGTTACATGAAAGTGGTATTGCAGTTTTACCTTGGTGTTCTCTTGCCCGATTGCACGCTTTCATTGTCTCCTGTATTCAGGGATGCCAAAGAAAGACTAGATACTGAAAAAACACGATAAAGTTGTGAACCTGGATAAAAAACAAAGTTCAAATTTATAAAAATGTGGGCAAATAGCAAAGAGCCTGTTCATTAGACTCAACACCAGCATAAGTAATTGGCAGGAATATTTGTAAACGAGTCTTTTGCTCCTATAAATTATATACCTGCATGCATATGTGGCATGCTAACTTTGTATTTGCAGACACGGGGCCAAAAAACAATTATTACATGAATTTGGGATCTTCTGAAACATAGCATTGATGTAAAAATATGGAGTTAGATCGTGGGCACTAAGTGATTAAAGTTAAATAGCACCAATATAGCAGGTCAAAATCCACAGGCATTAATTTCCTATTATTAAATGGATTACAAGGGGTATTTTAAATTGCACTGAAATGAGGTGGAGAGCAGAGTTAGCAGAGTATTCCTGGAGAATAATAAAGGTTACTGAAAGTCTGCTGCTAAAAACATCAGTAACTACACTCCTTTCTTTCCTCTAACTGTAAATTCTGAATACTTTCTTTGAAATCATAAAATAGTTTTTAACTAACAATGTAGAGAACTTTTCCATAAGATCACACATGCAGTAAGAGGACCAAATGAAGTAGACATAAGAAAAAACGCCAAAGTGTAAAGGAAACTTTGCTGTTAGTTTTTAGTTCTGTGTATGTTAAAGCAGCAGCTTAAGGGTTCTTACCTGATAGTCACCATTTAATTATCAATCTTTATTTCCCAAATGTTCTACTCATTCTTAACTCTACAGGTGCAAGAAGAGGTTAGTGGCTGGGAAGAAAACATGGATGCGCACAATACAAATCACATACATTGGTGCTTCAGCTGGTTTTCATCTAGCAAACATCTGTTTGTTCTTATATGCATGCACGCATAGTAAGTCAGTAACATTTGTCACCTTTTAACTGCCATTTGAAAGTTTTACTTTTATTAGCCCAGTTCAATCGCATGCAACTTCAAAAATTGTGCATCAGTTTAGCATGTGATGCTAATCAATGCACATTTCAGTTAGTAGGGCAAATCAAGCTGGTGTTTTAGAATGAACAGACTCTTTCTAACACTGACGTGTGTTACCTGGTGGACCTTTGACTGGAGTTTTGGGTGACTCAATATGATCTCTATGAACAGATTTTGGACGCGGCTTTTTTTGTTTAGATGAATGTGGGCGTGGTTTTATTACAGTATCCATCTCCTCCATAAGCTTTAACTGTTTCCGTCGCATATATTCTTGCTTAATGAATTCTCTGCGTGCTCTGTCATCTTCTTTCTTCTGACGTTCTTCCTCTGTCTTGCGCCTAAGAAAACATCAATTAAGCAGAAAAATTTGAAAGAAATAAAAGATATGGACATAAACAAAATAAAGCAAGGTTTTATTTGACAGGATGACTGACTTTCTAGGACAGAATGTCAACTGAATAACTTCTTAGACAAGGACAATGAAGTAGACCCAATCTATCTACAATTAAGCATAGCTTCCAACATCATGCCTCTTGAGATATTAGTTGATTATGTTGAAAGGTAAGTTACCAGCTTGGAAAGTGGCTACTAGTGATGTTCTTAAGATTCATCCTGGGCTTTGTCTTGCCTAACATTTTCATCAGCAATGTTGGTGCAGAACTAGAAGTGTGCTTATGAATTTTGTAGAAGACATTAAGCTGGGGGCACTGCCAATATGGAGATGAGCCAGAATATCTTAGAAAAAATTTATAAAACCTTGGAGTAAACATGAAACTACATGAAATGTAACATCATGAACTTAGACCAGGCTTGTTCAATACATGGCCTGTAGGCCGTCACGCGGCTCACTGAGGCACTTTCTGTAGCCCATGGTGCTGCGACAGGAAACGAAAGTAAACACGGTTTACTTTCACTCCCACCCCTTGTCCCTCCCCCAGCCCCTCAGCAGCTTCCTAATGGCTGCTGAAGGGCTGGGGAATGGACAAGGTTCCCACACACAGCATCAGTGCGGCATGGCCAGGTCCCTCATGGGGATGGACCCCTCCCCAGCCGGGGGCAGCGCTGGCTGCAACTGCTGAGTGGCCCCGCCCGCCCCGAGGAGCAGGTGCTAACCCCGGCAGCCGCAGCCGGTGCCACGGGCTTGGGGCAGGCGCAGGACGGAGCCTTCATGGGAGAACTTTGCCGCTGGGTGGCGGAGAAGCGGCTCCACTCGCAGGCCTGGGGCATGCTGCTCACTGGCAGGGAAGATGAATGTGCGGGAGTGCCCGTGCTCCTGCCCCCACCACCCTGCCCCGAGCCCATGCCCTTTGCTGCCAGAGTGGCCCCGCATGGAAGGCTAAGCAGTGGCTGTTGGCACTGCTGGCCTGCACCTGCCTCCTCACCCGCCCACTTCAAGCCAGCCCCACTGCCCTGCCCTGCACAACAGCAAGGCGGCCCCTGCTCCCCCGGCCAGTCTCCCCCCGGGCTTCTCATATGCTGCTGGGGATGGAAGAAGCCTGGCTGGGTCTGCACCGGCCAGCAGAAGCAGCGGCGGAGCCGTGTGCCACTCAGGACGGGACGAGTCAGTCCCGAGCAGCACATGGCTCCGCTGCTGCTTCTGTTGGCCATTGCAGACCTGGCCAGCATCCTCCCATCCTCAGCAGCACAAGGGAAGCCGGCTTCAGTTGCATGCTGCTTTTCCTGGCCGGTGCGGACCTGGTTCTACCCAGGCGGGTCCTGCAGCACCATATCAACCCAGGCATGGCACCGGCAGGCCAGGCGGGCCCCAGGTCAACCCTGGCCTGGCTCTGCGGCTTCTCCAGCACCAGGTCAACCCAGCTGTAGCCAAGTGGCTCCTGCAGCATCATGTCAACCCAGGCATGGCACCAGGCCGGCCGGGCACCAGGGCTGTAAAAACACTGTCCCGTGTTTGGATTGTGTTTGCCTCCATTTCTTTTTGTATGGGATTGGGGCTTCAACTTGTTACTACTTGTTAAAGATGTGTTACTAACAAGTTATTAATTCAGTAAAAGTAAATCTCCTTGAAGATTATTCTCAAAAATGCCCATATTTTGTTGCTTTGATTAGTTTCCAATCTGGCTGATATCTTTTTCACATTGGATCTGTTGACTTGCATTATGCTTCTTTCATTCATTGAGAAATGAGTAGAAGTGAAAGTGTTTATTTTAGTCAAGTGTTTGGTATTATTTCAATCTTGCTTTTATATTGGTTTTCTTTTGGATTTTAAACCACATTTCCAGACCCATTTCACTGTCACTTCCTGCAACTTCACTGGTGTCAAAGGTCACATGACATCACTTCCTGATGTGATACCACTTCCTGTGAAGTCTTTGAATATGGCTCGCTGGCCCACCGGGTGATAAAAAGTTTGTGATCCGGCCCCACATTCAAATTGGTTGGACATCCCTGACTTAGACTATAGTCTAAGATGGGGGCTTATAGAGTTGGCAAGAAAGGGACCTAGTGCACTGCTTAATCAGAGGATTACTATGAGCTGCCGAGGCTAATTTAATTCTAGGATGAAGTAAGAAAGGTCTATTCAGTTGAGACAAGGATATACTAGTGCCACTGTAAAAGCAATATTAAGCCTTCATTTATATATACAGGTATAACACAGAGTCAAATTACTTCTTTGGCATTGCTGTAACAAGGCACTGGCCTCTCCCGACTTCTACCTACGGCATGTGGCAGTGTTTTCAATTTTGAAATAGGCTCTGTGATTATGGCACTTGTTTGAGGAATTGTAAAATATGCTGTAAGGACTCAGTGATAAGTGGCTGCTTGTGAATGCAGGGATCTGAACTTAGTGGATCAGGAGAAACACTGGACTAGAAGGAGTCAAACTTTCAATTTTGGCTTATTCACTTTTTTCTGACAGATTTTAAAACCCCTGTGTCGTATTGTGACACTATGCTTCAAATTATTTAAATCTGGACTTTTTATTTTTTTCCACTTCAATGCTGAGAATCTACCTTTATTTGCACTATAAATTTTGAAGATGTACCTTATTTTATAAGGAAAACAAAGTCCAGGGTCATGTCTTCAGCCATTGAACGCTACCAATTTACACCAAGGAAGAGCCTGCCAAATTACTTTAATACTGGATTGGGAAGCTGTGCCCAGGTCTGGACATGTGGTGAGTAACACTACTGCAAATCCTGATTATACTGTGTAAATAAAAGGAATGGATAGATATTTAGCCCTAAACTGGTGCAACTTACTTGAATCCAGTGTAGAATTATCCCAGGACAAATCAGAGGTAAAACTATAGTGCTGCAAAATACACTAGGGTAGGTGACGTCCATCTGCAATTTAACTCAATATAGCTGTTTACTCAATGTGAGCAAGGCTATTATCTGGTCCATGATTAAGGTGGTATTACCACCTAATACATATAGCTACACTGGGATACTTGTATTTAGTCTGCTCTGGATTCTGGAGTAATTCATGTTGCCATACAGGACTGATAAGTTATGTCAATGGAAATGTGTTGTCTTTCCAAGCCCTACGGCTCATATTCTACTCTCAAATACTTAATTATCTTTTAATTCAAGTGGGATTATGAATATACACACAGGACAGAAGAAAATCTTTCACTAACCTTGCCAACAGCAAATCTCTCTTAAATCAGTTTAAGGAAAAGATTAAATAAAAAGTATTGGGCTTACAATGAAGAAAGAGGATTGCTGTATAAAACACGAAAGTGGCCACACTGCATTTTGATTAGTATTTCTGATATACCACTGACATTTTTAGCAACAGTAAAGAGTTTTCCACGTTATCCTTGTTTATGTTGTAAATCAGCATGTGCAATTAGTTTTACCTTGTTTCTTCCTTCTTATGCTCTAGCTCCGCTTCCAGCTGCTGCTTTCGTAGTAGAGTCTCTCTTTCTCTTCTCAACCGCTTTTCCAGCAATGCTGCCCGTTTCACTGCCATATCATTTTCTGCCTTTTGATCATCCTAGCGGCAACAAGTCAGAAGGAAAGAGGTCTAAAGACTTCAGAGCATTTGGATACTGTAGCTGAATTACTTCAAGTCATTAAAAATCTCTTTTTTAAGAGTTTATACCTACTAATTATATTGAAAAAACTTTTAAGCATCTTCCTCTGACTACCAAACCAAACTCAAGACCTCGCACTTCTCCTGGTATAGACATTATTCATTTAATAAAAATAAGAATTTACACCTTCCTTATAACAACAAGATGATACTAGCAGCCAATCGCCAACCCCAGAAGCACCAGTGGCAAAACCAGAAGTGCCAGCAGCAAAGCCAGAAGTGTTGCCAGTGCTTCCCTCAGTGCCCCCACACCCAGGCTGGTGAAAGCCAATCTCAGGAGGGGCATGTGCTCCCCCTATACATGCTCTGCACGTTGCCGGTGTTTAGAGGACATCTGCTACTACCTCCATGCTGAGCCACAGAAGCTTGTATTAGAAGGAGCTCAGAGATCAGCTAAGATGTCAACAAAATAATTTTTGTTGGAATTTTCCACTTCAAAGTTGTGGCAACATTTCCATCTTGCTTTTTTTTCCCCTGATGAACCTGCCTGGTTTCCTACAAGCCCAGCTGCCACCTCACTACCCCAGAGCCAGAAGCCTTAGAGCTTCTAGGCTCCCAGCTTCCCATAAGCCCACCAGACAAGACTGCCAAGGACCTAACCTGCCAAGCTGGTACAATGGAGCTGAGGATCCTGGAAGCCTTGACAACTGTGTATGGCCGTGTGCTCAACCATTTTGCACCATGGGCTAGATAAGTGGTATGGGGCGGGTTCTAGGGAAGGATCTCTTGCAGAGTCAGGTCCTGGATCAGGACCTGCATGCCCTATCTAGCATGTAGAACCACGCTATCAGGCCTGACAGGCTCTTCATGGGTCCAGAAATTTGGCAGTGGGGGGAGTGGAAATTGATACTGCCACTACTCCCCTGCTGCCAAATTTTCAGATCCATGGGGAACCTGGAGAACTGGATGACATGGCTCCGTGGGCCAGATCTAACTCCCGGGCCAAGGGTTGAGCACCCCAGGGTATATGGAAAGTGACTGGCTTTTTGCCTGCTTCACAGAAGATCCATCACTAAAGAGCAGGCACAAAATTCACCAGATTTCTCTTGACTTTTAAAAATATTATACACACATACACACAGCAGGAACTTAAATATTTTTAAAATTTTACTACTGCACTATTAATGTCCATATAATTTTTTGCACATGTAGAGTGCTGCATAGGTAGAGTGACATCAGAAGACTAACTAGACCTATACTGATTTCTTAGAAACTTCCTTGAACACACTTAAAACATTCGAAGTTCTGCAGTTTATCCGCGTAAAAGTGACTTGTCACTCAAAAGTCACAATTTTATAGCTACTCCAGGATCTGGAATATCAGCAAAGATGGTCAGCAGGCAGAAGGAAGGTAAGGAAGACAAAACTATAAAAGTAAGATATTATGCAAACAGGCCTCTGAACTTTGTGCATATGTGAAATCGCAATTGACAAAGCCTTCTTAAGTCAAGAGGCTGTGAACCAAAAGAAACAAACAAGTTGGCCTCAAGCCTGTATACTTCATAGTTTCAAAAAAGATTTGATGAACAGTATAAAAGGCAGAATAAAAAAAAAAAAAAAAAAAAAAAAAA